CTGAAACGACGGCGAAGGCCGCGCATGGGCTAGGGAAGATGTGCTGTGCAGTGCAAGGTCATTGGTTCGAATCCTGGTTGCTCCCTGTGTCAAGTCAAAGTGTCCCTGAGCAAGACACCTAACCCCCAATTACTCCACATAAAATTATGTCAAACCGTTTTGGATAAAAGTGACAGCTGCATGTACAGTAATGTCCTGTAAGTCAAAGTCATCATCGTATCTCATGAGATACGAGATCTCATTATGATGACTTACAGGACCTGTTTTTCAGGGGCTGACATGGGCTTCCATACATTAACCTACAACAGATGTACATGGATTGTGATTCACTGCACTTGTATGTGTATTTCCACCACTTCATAAAATATATTTAACATGCAATTGAATTACGGTAGTCTGCTATTATTGTAAATTGACAGTTGTTCTGTTTGTTCATCACATTGGCTGTTAATTTACAAGCAAGGGATTGAAATTTAACTGTGTTAGTTATTATGACATACTGTAAGATACCGTTAGAAATGCACCGTAAATTTACACCAATTTGTTACAGTGTATGAAAAGAACAAGCCTAATACTATAACATTAAAGTGTCATATGAGACAATATTCTGAGGTTCTCGGTTTCCAGAGCAGAAAAAAATCCAAATCTCATGGATCTCATAGTCATGGATTTAGTGTTCAGTAAATGTGATTCTGACAGGATACTTGAATATATGACAGATCCATGCCATATAAAGCATTATCATAAGGAGAAGGTTTAATAGTTATTCATTGTATGAGGAAAGACATTGTAATATGTCTTATTGACCAGTGGGTCTGCTGAAGAAACTGTGTATCCATGCATATAATGCAGCGGTTTTCTGTATAATGGAGAGCAGAAGTTGATATTTAAGTAAGTACCAAAAGTAGACTGAATCCCTAGAGCTAATGATAGCGTGGCTAAACACAGTACAAGTGCATTCCTAGCAATCTAAGGCTCTACTAAAAAGGCTAACAGTAGCTCCTTGATGCAGGAAAGCTCCAGAAAATAAGTTCTATCAGTACGGAGTTGTAAGGCATCAAGGTTGTTGGCCCCAGTTTTGAAGCTTGAAGCTTATCAGTGCAACCAGTCAGTTATGTTGCCGGTTATGAGTCCTAATTTTACTCAATTATGTGGTGTTTTTTGTTGATAGTTATTGAGTGTGTGTGTGTGTGTGTGTTTATAGGTCATTCGCCCACTGGCCATTCCTCCGGGACTCCCTGAGGCCATGGTGTGGGTAATTGGGCTTTATGAGAGAGGGTTAACCCACCTTAGTGGCTGCAAGTGAGCAAGACAGCCCACTGCTGCACCTCGCTTTTGATGCCTATCCAGCTTTCTCTCCCCACTACCTGAACGTCCACCAATTGGGACAGTGCAAGGGCCTGACATTATGTCTGCGGGTTATCATTATATATATATTTTTTCTTTTACTTGATCGATTGGCTCTGGTCTGCAGTGGCGCTTCTAGGGGTAACTGTCACTGCTAGTTAGGGATTGACCAGCGGGTGTTATTAAGAGCAAGAGCGCCTGCTTTTGGGAGGCTTTGTTGTGGGGAGGGGCGGTGAAGAAGCCAAGCCTTTTTCTTTTAGCCTCCTGGTCTTAGTTGACCTTTCACTTAGGCAGCAGCTGGAGCTGAGAGGTATTTAATTGAATGGAGTCTTCAGATGTATTGGAGGGAGCAAAGAAGATGCCGCCTTCTCAAGACAGAGCAGGAGTGGGGAGACAGAGATGGAAAGCACGGGAGGGAGAGTTTGCTTGACCTTCAAAGCCTAATTGATAGGCTTTTCATAGACCTTGTTTGAGATGTGCGTGGTCCCTGTTGTTCTGCAGACCGTTAGAAATCCTGCAGAAGTACAAAGTCAACCGCAGGTAGGGAGCCCCCAGTGGCCTGCTGCAATCAATAGCCGCTGGCTCGCCTAACGAGAGCTGCAGTCACTCTTCGGCTTTCACAGGTCCCATTAACAGGCAGTGCCCAGCCTAATTTCACAGCCTACACTCATTAATGTAGAGAAATACAGGGCAGAAGCCAGGTGAAACCACCCGGGGAATAACTGATCATCACACCTGGTAAAATAAGTCAAAATAAATCATCAAAATGATGCATTTTGGTGGTGGAGGAAGTTGAGTTAACGGGGGTGGAATCAAAACAAAAGCCCTCATGTGGTGCTCCCGCATTGCTCCTGCCCAGTATTTCTCACTAGATGTCTTACTTTCTCCATATCGGTTTATTTTGGCTTCCCTGTATTTCGACGAAAAACATTGCCACACAAGAGGCCGAAACAGATTGATGGCAATTCAATCTTAACCCGGATGCGCGAAGTAAACGGCTGCCAATTAATGCTCGTTGGTGTTAGGGAAAGCTCCGGCCTTATTGTTGTTAAAAAGTGATTCTATTGGATCTTCATTCGTACATCACTCTCACACTGCAGAGATATGCAGTTCTAGCAAAGGCAGCCGGCCTTGGATACAAAGAAAAAGATTTGAGGGATCATGTTCGGAGATTAACCGATAAGCAGCTAATTTTATGTACTTAAAAGGAGCAAACGATCCTGTATAGCCCTCCTTCTGGAATTCCTCCAGCCAAGAGGATGAAAGCAAGGAGCGGAACCCATTTCTGAGGCTGTTTCGACCATTAATGCTGATCTCCAAAATTAAAGATTTATACCAACTGATAGAGCTCAGTAGCAGCACATACACACACATTGGATCAAGAAGGATGGGGAGGCGGGAGTTGTCCTTAAAGGCATTCTTTAAAGTATTTGAATGGGAAAAGAGAGTGGGTGGGGGAACACAATCATGTAGCACCACTTTTCGCTAATTGGAATCTTTGAATAAGTTAGTAGTGAAAGATGTTTAATTTGGAAAATGAGTGATCTTGCCGATGTTTGGATGGGAAATTAGTGGCGATAGTACTCAGGCAGGATCTAAAGCTGTTTTTTTTCTTTTTTTTTACCATCAAAATACTGATTGATTTCACTGAAATACTGAGAAGTTGCACACAACTTCTCAGCTAAATGATTTGGAGCATGTTGGTTAGTTTTTGAATACATAACTACTATACATAGCTATTTTCAATTCCTTGTTTTGCTTTTCTGCTATTACATTTTGATAAACATATCTGCATTTAAATTCCTTCAGGATTTTATATCAGAAGTGTAGTGTCCATTTGCAGTCTGAGTAGTTAGCAATCAGCATATAATCAGTTGATGTAGAGAAGAGACATTGACTAAATGCAGTATTGAGCTAATTGTCTATTAAAAATGTGGCCCTAATCTCTATTAACAGATAAGTAAGTAAGTCTTTAAGTAAGATTTCTTTTGGCTATATCTGAACCACCGGAGTATTGGTTGTTTGACCTGGAGGTAAATCGTAGTCACACCGTCGTCTGATGAATTTAAAAACAGCGGTTATATATTTTCAGCGAGTACAAGACCAATTATTTTCTTAATTGTTTGTTTGTAAGGTGAGAGAGGGAAAAACCAATCTAATTAAAAGCTGCAAGCAGCGTTGGTTGGACAGGTCCTTGCTACTCCGCATGTTGGGGCACCGGCCGGACGGCTAAAAACGCAGACAAGAACTCCTGCGGCCGTCGGACAAAGCGTCCAAGAGTCAGTTGTCGTTAACCATAAGGATTGACACCAGGAAGGCCGCTTTGCAAACTTCATCTTTAAAATCCAACTTCCTTCAAAATCAAATTCACGAGACTACTTCAGGTCAATTTCAGATCAGATTTAAAAGGATACTATCAATAGTTGTCATGCCCAGGAAACGGCGTTAGTAAAACTGTCCTGTGATTTCCTGTTTTATTTTGAAAATTAACCTCCCTTTCGTCTCAGGCAACTTGCCCCTTCCTCCTGTGTCCTGGTCTGATTGTCTGCCCTGCCCCTGATTGTTTCCACCTGTGCGCCTACCTTGTGTGTATATATTGTCTGCGTTTCCATTTGTCCTGTGTCATTCCAAAATTAAAGCCTCTGAAAATACCGTACATGAGCCAATATCTCAATCACAAGACTACATCTGGTCAATTTCAGATTAGATCTAAAAGGAAAAAAATCAATCGTTAAACACTATTTCCACTTCAGGCACAGAGTACACATCCCCAATGTGTCATTCGGTGATAACCAGGGGCCTGTTTCAGAAAGGAGGTTAAGTGAAAACTCTGAGTATGTTAACCCTGAAATGAGGGAAACTCTGAGTTTTCTGTTTCAGAATGGGAGGTATGTTAAACCTGAGAAAGCAGAGTAAGTCAAGCCTGTTTCAGAAAGAGAGGTAACTTATACTCAGAGTCAGTTACCATGGCAACTTACTCTGTGAACCTAACCTGGTCGGGAGCAGGTTTTCTTCGGGAAACCCAGAGTTTATTTCGTCTCCTCCCCTTTTTTAAAGAGGAAGTGGTATTTAATCACCTCATTCATTCTTTCGGTATTCATTCATTACGCACATTTCAGTCACGCAGAGTGCATCAAATCAAGTGAATGAAATGGCATGTCCTTTTATGGACGATCCTGTGGATGAAGAGGCTGCATTAATCCGTAGGGAGTTGCATTTACGTCGGGAGAGGATTTTGAGACCCAGAGTGGATTTTTTGTCATATCCATATTCATTTTTATTTGAGCGGTACCGTTTTTCTTTACAGTCAATAAGATACATCCATAATCTCATCCATCCTTACATCAGAAACATCAGCCATCGCGGCCGTGCTCTAACATCCGAGCAGATGCTTTGCGTTGCATTACGTTTCTTTGCAAATGGTAGTTTTCTGTATAACATTGGGGATGCAGAACATATCAGTAAGGCTACTGTTTGCAGAGTTGTAAGGAAAGTGTGCCTCGCTCTTAAGCGCTTTCTCCGAATTTTTGTGCTGTTTCCTGGGCACAAACCCGTGAGAGCCATCAAAGAGGAGTTTCACAGGATTGCAGGTCAGTGATGTATAAATCGGTTTAAATGAGGCTAACCTGATAAATGACGTTCAGTTAAGAGCATATTGCTGCGACCCCTGGAAGTAAACTAATAATAGAATTCCTTTTAGGATTTCCGAATGTGGTTGGATGCATTGATGGCACACATATTCCCATCATTGCACCTTCCGAAAATGAAGCGGACTATGTCAACAGGAGGTCCATCCACAGTATTAATGTGCAGGTACACTGAAAGCCTACTGTTTCTAATGGTCAAAGACTACATCACAATACTATAACATGTCTCACTCTTTGCATTGTCAAGATCATATGTGATGCTGCACATCTCATTACAAATGTGGAGGCCAAGTGGCCCGGTTCTGTTCATGACTCACGAATGTATCGTGAGTCAACGCTGAGCAACAGACTGGAAACTGGTAAGTAAATGCATGTATTTCAATGTATGCACTACACACTTACTGGGGAACTTCTATGCAGCTCTAAAGCAATGTGAACTTTCTTACAGGAGAGATTGATGGCTTTCTGCTGGGAGATAGGGGTTACCCATGCCGACCAACACTAATTACCCCTTACCCAGAACCTGAACCAGGCCCCCAGCGCCGCTTCAATGTGGCACACTGCAGGACGAGAGCCCGGGTGGAGATGACCATAGGCCTGTTGAAAGCACGTTTCCAGTGCCTACGTCACCTCAGGGTAACCCCTGAAAGGGCCTGCGACATTGTGGCATGTGTTGTTCTCCATAATATTGCCATAATTAGAGGGGAGCAACACCCTGCCCTACAAATACAAGACCCAGAGGAAGACCCCATCAACCCGGCAGATTTCCAGGAGGGAAGGGTAGTCCGGGATATGATATGCCGAAATGTCTTCACAGATTAATACACATTATATCCACCACCACAACCAACCAACCACAAAATAAAATAAAAATGAATAAACACAAAATCACAGCAATTTATATGGTGTTCTTTATTTCCTAAACATAAAAAAAAAAATAGAATTTAATATATTTTCAATACTTAGAATTCACCTGTGACCATGCACTCACCTCTAGCTTTAGTTTCAGAATCTCAATTTCCAGATCTGCCTTTTGGATCTGGCGGTCCAAGTATACAAGTTCTTTGCTGTTTTTTTCTATCTTTTTAATAAGAAGAAGTCTATATAACTCCTTAACTGGCAACTGAAAATACAGTAGATTACAGTTACATCATGTAGTTCTAAAATTCTACAATATTAAACTGTGGCATTTACTGAAAAAAAAAATCACTGAACTGTGTTCATCTGTGCACCAGAAGTTGATGGACCATCCTCTTGCTGTTCTTCCACACTCTGGGGAGAGATAAAAATACCTGTTTATACTTAGATTTAAACTTAGATTCTATAGGCTACTCCACATAAAAAAGGTGAAGAAATGTGAATGTGTAGATTGTTTGATAGACACATAATATTAACATTACCTCTGTAGGCATCTCTGTGGCAGCAGAAACTGTTTCTTCATCCCCATCATCCTGTGAAGATGAGCATTTGAGTACACTTTATAACACTATTTGTAATAATTTCTGGTGTATTGAGTAGGCTACTTACAACTGCCTGTGGTTCTGTTGGGACAGGAGGCTCCAAAAGACTAATTTTACCATCAGAATCTGTTGGGACCAACGAAAAACCCACCCCAAAGTAAAATAAATGGAAATATCACAAATAGCCTATATAAAAACACAACACATAGGTAGACCTCTTACATTTTATGAAGGCACTTAAATCTTCTGGAGTGACTGGCTCTGATGAAGTCCCTCCAGGAATTCCCTCAGCCATTGGCCTTCCAGCATTCAGGCTCAGGGCCATCTCCTCTGCATTTGTCAGAGGTGGTGGTGCAGGTCCTCCCCCCGTTTTGCGAGCCTCTGCCTTCTTTCTGTTGGCTGAGTAGTCAAATGAGAATGAACATTTAGACCCATGTCAAAAATGCTGCTGCACTGCTAGACACTGGATGCTATTTAGTTATTTATATGTCAAATGTTTGTAAAGTCAGGTAGACTACAACCATGATATGTTCAAGCCTTACCTGATTGAATTATGTTTTTATATTTCATTTTCAGCTGCTGCCATGTTCTTTTAATGCCTGCAGGATTGCACCTACATGAAAATTAAAATTAGGTTGAATAACACACTGTTCTTCCAGTTTCACTTCTGATATTATAACAGTTGGGCAAGTCACTTATATTACTAACTACAACTGGCTTCTTCAACAGTGTAATTAGATTAATGTAATAATGACTATCTCTAGAAAGTATTGGTCTACTTATTACTAATTACTTTCTAAATCCCATATCAACCTCAACCACTTGAACAATACAAGGAGAGACAAGAAACTGCACTTTTAATGCTTTCAAATAAACATTATACAATTGCATGAATTATTCTTGAAAAAATATATCTTTTAAAATTTGATGTTAAATCCACTATTGTTTTATACAGAATTGCTTTATAGTTTATGCAGCATTTAATGCAATTACATCAGATTTTACTTTAAATTACGCAATTAAATTACAGTTTTTAGATTACATAGAAATTACACACAACACTGTATAACAGTAATTCAAATGTAAACTTACGCATTGACTCGAGCAGCTATTTTCTCCCAAGCCAACTCTCTGTCCTTCGCCGCTGCAGCCGTGTTGCTTTTTTTTTAAAATATATGTTCGTACTCTCCATATGCTTGCATAAGCACATCCAGTTCTGCTGGTGAAAAATATGAAGACCTCTTTTTGTCTGGCGCTGTTGCCATGGTGACTCGTAATATCTGCGCTCCATTGATAATGGCTTTTTATAGTTGTGGTGCACGCGCTTAACTCAGAGTAGGTCAACTCAGAGTTGATTGAACTAACTCATTTCAGCTGTTCTGTAACCGAAAACTCAGAGTTTCCCATCTCAGGGTAAGTCAACTCAGAGTTCAAGTTTTAACTCAGAGTTGGTTGAACCTCCTTATTGAAACAGGCCCCAGGACATTCTTATGTAGCATTTTACAAATTAAAGCCTCTCGAAATACCACTGTTGGGAGCGGCTAGGGGGTCGTATTAGGTTACTAGCAAATGAGGGACTAACTTATGGACATTAATATAATTATTAATAATCACTAAGATACTTCTTCAGAATAAATAAATAACGGGGCACCACCCTGAGCTAACAAGGACTAAAAACCAATACTACAGATAAAGTCTCATAATTGATATTCACTCCTTGAGAGTGAAGATGTTGGAAGGATTTAAGTTCGAGCACTGGCAATGTATGTCAACTGTCACCACCATATAAATGCACCAGTAAACACAGGAAAACGGTTCTTTAAAGTATAACAGGGTTTATTAACTCACAGAATCACTGATCAAGATCACCTATAACTGCAATCAACAATCCCCATAACACTTATTTTAAACCTACTCACTAAACAAACAGTGGGGGTGGGGGTGGGGGTGTGAGCGTGGAGGGGGGTGCAGGGAAGGAACGACGGTGGGGTTGCGCGCAACAATAAGCGGAGTGCCGATTATCACACTAGGGGGCGAGCGGGAGCAGCGGGCGGAAGTGAGACCGTTAAATCAAACCACCGAGGAAGACGGGAATGTTAGGCAGTGTAATACGACTACTCAACGCGAGGGGCGAGCGGGAGCGAAATGCAGGGAAGTGTTCCACGTAGTAAAGCAAAGAGGAAGACGATAAATGCACTGCTATGGCACCGCTATCGGTTGCTAGGGACTACGACTTGGACGAAGGGGGGGTAAATAGACGCAACGCGAGGGGATTCTGACCCGCGACCAGCGGAACATACAGTAGATCAGCAACGTCAATCAGTATGGTCGGACTTATGTGTGTGCAGTTGTGTGTACGGAAACCAACGATGTGGCTCGCGAGACGAAATAAAACCACAGCCAAACGGATCTCGCGGCGGAGACCCGGGAAAAGCGATCTAAGATTGAAAAAAAATAAGGAACTATTTTGACCATGAGATATCATTCAACAGCGTAATACAGTTGGCACTGTACCCTTGCGGCAAAGCGTATCACAGTATCGGATCCACAGGAAATATTACATTTGCAGGTACACATTCCAACATAAATCAAAGGTAGCGAATTCGTTGATCCGGACTATATCGTACCACGTTATGACTGAACAAATCAAATTAACATCAAGTTTATATAAACACGCTAAATTAGTCTGCCTAGAAAAGCAGTCTCTTACTGTTTGATGTGCTCGATCGACATAGCGAACGGTCGATGGTTGGTTATCAGCTTCCAGCTAACTGAGGAAAGTTGAGCTCCGCGTAGGGAAACTCAGTGGGCAAAGGCGATTTGGAACTTCTCGTTCGGAACAGAGGCAGCGCGGGGGTCAGAGCAGCTGTCTCTCCAGTCCTCCGGGGTGAAACGGGAATAAAATCAAAAGGCGAAAAAAGGAAGCAGGGAATGATTGGAGCGAGAGTCTTGAGTTCGTCCAGCGAGATTAAGACTGAAACTTGGGAATTGGAGGGAAAAGAAATGAAAACAACGCTGTGGTGTCTCGATCTATTACTAACGGAAAGTCAGGCGAAAGAGATCGATTCTTTGGCGCAATCTCTTTTTATAAAGTTAAGGTCCATAAATAAATGTCACTGTCCTTGGCCAATGGGAGCTCTCGGTGTTCTTTCGTACATCCTCTTTTTATGGCCAAGGGGGTCTGGAGAGCCGCAGGGCACTTGTTATCAGCCCCTGGCATCATGCCCCTATATGTTTGTGTTTTTCCTTTGTCCTCAGTGAAGAAAAACGTGGTGAGGTTTAATAGCACGGTAGAGGGCCCAACACCACCTTCGTTTTTTACTGGTTACTAGAAATTTGACTTCTTGTTACCATTAGGTGGCGCTATGACTTGATTCAACTTTACATCTCTTCAGGCCCAGAGTCTCAAACATGTGTAAATTGGAAAGAATCCGATGATGTGGAGTAGAGTTACAACGGTTTAGTTGTTCTTGGCGAAGGATCAGCTTTGGCCACCGATTATCGGATTCTTATAATATTCACAGTGAAGCATTATCAAGGTCTTACCTCTCTGCTAAGAAATTTCGAGAGGGATCAGATTAACCTTTGAGGAGCATAGTGTAAAACAATATATATTCATGACTATGACTAAGGTTAAAAATGATCACATCAATGTCTACACGGTGAGAAGTTCATGCTACATGAGAAATATGGAGCAGATTAGATAGAGTATGGTTGAGTTAAAACAACTTCAATGCTCCCCACACATAGTTTGGAATTTATTTCGGCAAAATGCAATTTTTAGAGCCTAAGGTCTCAAGATCATACACATTTGAAAAGAATCGGGTTTAATCCCTGGGTTCGGTCTTTTACAACTCAAGAAATCATGACAATAGGCCAAAATGGCAGATTTTCAACGATTAATTGCAGCGCCCCCTATTCTTCAAATATTCTCAAAAAATTAGGGTGTTTTCAGGGGTTCAATGTTTGCATATGTTACAATATTGGTGATGGCAGGCCAAATCATTTAGAAGTTATGAGTCATGCCAGATTAAGCCACACCCCTTGGAAAGCTCATTGGCCCATATCTTCTCAAAACAAAAGATATCACAACGTTTTTTTATGGATCAGGATAGACCCAATAATGATCCACAGACAATATTGTGACATAGTGTTCAGGAGAAATGGGCCAAAACGTGTTTTTCACAAAATTCAAACTGGTGGAAAATCTAGTTAGGCACATTTGCATACCATGATTGTCCAAGTGCCAAATTTCAAGTCGATCGGACATCGGGGGGACTGGCCTAGTGGGGTACTTTTTAAATTTCTAGGAGGCTCTATTGTTAGGCTTTCTCACTGACTCAATCGCAGACCAGGTCGCAAAAACAAAACAATTACATTTTTCTTTTTCAAAACAGAATTCGCAAAAAAATCCAAAACAGAGTTCAAAAACGGCAA